TTCTGCGTCCTTGGATGCTCTTCTATTCTCTCTAGACAATGGCTATGGGGGTTGTTTTGCTGTACAAGCTGGTCACGTCATCATCGCTGGTTAGATTCCATTGTACGTTGCTGCTATCTTGCTATAAGGACTTCTCAGTGATATGTGCTCTGACATTACAGATCATTGCTTACAAAACCCAAACGAGAGATGTAATTTTAAAAAGTAGGGAAGAGCTCCATTTCTCTCTTGTGCATTTCCCCACCTTTTCCTTAGGGGTGAAGCTGAGCAAACCTTTTACGATTCCTTGATTAAAATTCGGCATTGTAATCTAGGGAAACCTCTAGGCCCTACCTGGAGGTTGGAAACCTAGCCAGGACTTACAATCATGTGCTGAAGAATCCTTTCTTCTTAAACCGAATTTTTAATATAAATTTTGAGTTCTACTGCTTCGGCCAATGTGGCTGGCCCACCGGAATGAATTTTCATACATCCAACTTGATGAAGAGTTCTGGTGAACTTGAAAGCTTGCGCTTGTGTCCTTTGGTTGGTGCAGTTCGTAAGCAAGAAATTGCAAGTAGATAAATAGGTACCACCGGAGGGAAGGTAACAGCGTCCCGTGCACCTTGGTGTTTAGTCATGCCGGCCACATGACCACGGAAACGGCTTCGGACAGCGCTGGCTCTTCGGCTTTGAAATGGAGATGAGCACCGCCACCCTAGAGTCGGATTCGACTGGCTTTCGAGCAAGGGAAGCCTTTACTTTTAATAAAAGGTATTATGTAGATTGCATTGTGCCTTTGCCAGAATCTTTAGTACATTTTTGAAACTGGTCTCTTGCTGCCCACTATTGTTAACAACACAGTAGTGCTGGAGTGATTTTTGTCCCACGTACTTAATATATGAAAAAAATGGTAATTTATCACACCACACACACAAAAATTACTTTCTAATGTCCTTAGCTGTGAAGGAAACAGAGGGGAAGAGGCCTGGTCCTCCCCGAAGATGACTCTTCACAACCAGAGTTCTCGAAACTTCGTGTCTAGAGTAGTTACGTGACTGCCTCTCTACAGTGTTCCTGGGGGGAATGCCTGGAACTAAACGGTAGAGCTATGTTAACTTTTTCTTTTAATGTGCATGTATCAAAAGTACATTAAATGTAGGGAACATAAACATTCATTGATGTAGATCAAAAGAGTTTGGCTAAGAATCTCCTTAGTTTAAAAACATGATCCAAACATGTACAAGGTAGGAAGCTGTTATGCTGCAATCTAAGGAGTCCAAGGTTCATTATATGTTTGCCTTTGCTGTTTGACTAAAGTACTTGCGGAACAAAGTGTTGAGTCGAGTGGCGCCTTGGCAGACCGACAAAAGTTTTATTCAAGGTATGAGCTTTTGTGTGCAAGCACATTTCTTCAGATATATCTGAAGAAGTGTGCTTGCACATAAAAGCTTATACCTCGAATAAGGCTTTGTCGGTCTGACAAGGCGCCACTCGACGCAACACTTTGTTCTACTGCTTCAGAAAAAAAACATGGCCGCCCACCTGTCAGAATCGGGCTCTGCTGATTGTCATGTTGACTAATGTTTTCTTTTGTCTTTGTAGTTCGCTTTCGTTTTTCCCCACCATTTGGTCTCAACCCTTGCCAGCCCTCTCTGCCGAAAAGAGGGGGGGGAAGTAGGTGTGAATGCCATATATCTGTATGTGTGTATGTGGGTGTCAGGTTAGCTTCCCCATGAGAACGAGCCCCAAGAGACTCTCATCCTTGAAGAAACATCTGTTGCTAGATAATAATCTTTGTAGTGGGGGTTAGTAGGCAGGGGGAGTGAACGGGGTGGGGGAGTGAATGCCCGCTGCATGGCCATTGCATTATGGGACATTGATCTATTATCTATACAATGCCTAACCCTTGATCTATTCCTTACTCTGAACAAGAGATCTCTCTTGTGCACATCTAAATCTGTTTCTAATAAAGCTTTCATGAAAAGACCATTAGGCTGAGGGTGGATTGACTCAAGGGCCTGACACCACCTCAATGGACTTGCAGCTCCTTCGCGTTTGCGCTCACGTAGAGGTTCTCCCCTCCTTTCCCCCCAGGAGGCAGAATTCTGTGACCACCACATTCATTATTCCCTACTTTGCTAAACTCTGCAGTCGAACCAATTATGCAGGTTTGTGTAGTAGCTGGAAGTCAGAAGCGCCTTAACAAAACTGGTTCCGTAAGTTAGATATGTGGGACAATGACATTATACTTTGTTAAATTGCTTCCTTGTTAGGGGAAGACATTTAACACCAGCACGTCTGCACGATTATCCTGTAGTAAATTTTCCACAGGATTGCTAAACGAGTGTACCTCCACCTCCCTGTTCCAGAGCAGCAACTTACTTCTAGATTTAAGTCACGGGGGGGGGGGGGGATGCAGAGTAAGGGATAGAGAATTGTAACTATTTTTACCCAGACATTGCTACAATCCAATATAAGGCCAGTGTGTTTAGAGTTCTAAGAGCCTCTTTGAAAAAAAGAAAATCAGCTCACCATCCATACAATATCGAAGATACATATCCAATGGAAGGTATTCACTGCCCTCCGAGTAAACGATGCACAGCACACTGAAAAGCAGCTTTACAATGGTGGTTTCACAAAATGGCTCCTTTTCTGTTTTCTCTACTTTTCTGCTAGAGCAGCTTGTCAACAACGCCCAGACTTCTTAGCACAAGTTGTTTTTCTTGTACAGCAATCAATTGTAAATGTCACTTATGAGATTGTATAAGTATTGCATTTCAGAAATATGGGTCACGCGAAGCAGACATACACAAGCAACAGTGCTCATTAAACATTCGGGAGATAGATTAAATTGGGGTAAGAGATGGGTCAGCATTACTTACACCTTAAGAGTGACAGATGGGCTATATGCATTTTCCAAACGTACCGTAAGAGCATGAATATGGCTTGTCTTATCATAATTTATTGGTTTTAGTCATGAGCCACATCTCCAGCTAGACAAATGTCGTAAATAAATGGTACAAAATTCTGATTTCTCACCCCCCACACTCACCCCAAGCAGTGGAGATGGGAGTAAGCAGTGAAGTGGCTAAATTTGCGGATGATACGAAGTTGTTCAGGGTGGTGAAAACCAGTGAGGATTGTGAGGCACTCCAAAGGGATCTGTCAAGGATGGGCAAGTGGGCGTCAACATGGCAAATGGGGTTCAATGTGGCCAAGTGCAAGGTGATGCACATTGGAGCCAAAAATCCTAAATATAAATACACATTGATGGGGAAAACAGATCAGCCAATATAATGCCCCTATATAAATCAATGGTGCGACCTCATTTGGAATACTGTGTGCAGTTCTGGTCACCACACCTTAAAAAGGATATTATAGCTTTGGAAAAAGTGCAGAAAAGGGCAACTCGAATGATAAAAGGGTTGGAACACTTTTCCTATGAGGAGAGGTTAAGGCGCTTAGGGCTCTTTAGCTTGGAGAAACGACGACTGAGGGGTGACATGATTGAGGTTTATAAGATTATGCATGGGAAAGAGCAGGTAGAGAAAGAGGTACTTTTCTCCCATTCTCACAATACAAGAACTTGTGGGCACTCCATGAAATTGCTGAGCGGTCGGGTTAGAACGGATAAAAGTACTTCTTCACCCAAAAAGTGATTCACACATGGAATTCACTGCCACAGGAAGTGGTGGCGGCTACAAGCATGGACGGCTTCAAAAGGGAATTAGATAAGCATATGGAGCAGAGGTCCATCAGTGGCTATTAGCCACAAGGTACAGATAGGGGCTCTGGGGCAAGTGATGCTCTGTCTTCTTGGTGCTTGGGGGGGGGGTCAACAGTGGGAGGGCTTCTAATGTCCTGGCCCTACTGGTGGACCTCCTGATGGCACTGATAGTTCTGGCCACTGTGTGATACAGAGTGTTGGGCTGGATGGGCCTTTGGCCTGATCCAACATTGGCATCTCTTATGTTCTTATGTTAAGTTTATGGTAGTGAAGGGAGGCTTAAAAAGTTTGTGGGTAAATATTTGGTGAACTCTCAGAACCAAATGGGCGGGCAGAAGGACCAGAGGTGTTCTTTAGCTCCTCGGCTTCATATACTTTAGTTCAGAAATAAGCCAATGCTCTTTTTTTCTTCCTCTAAGAAGGCATTAAGCTGCCTGGCCCAGGATCCTCCTCCACACCGCCACCACTAGAGCAACAGAGAAGCACTCTCATTTAATGACGTTTCTGGGCTTGGCAGCTACAGGAAGGCAATGAGGCCTACGGGCAGGGACAATACATATAGACAAACGTTTGAATATTGCTGATTTTCCTAATACCAAACTGAGCATAGGCTAGACTAAGCCCCCCATGGCATATCCAGCAAACTTTAATAAAGTGGTAGACGGTTTTGCAATTTCATTCGTAACTAACATCGTTTGTGGAACTGCACCTTTAATTTCTTTGGGCTTCTATATATAAATGACCCTGTCTAAAAGCTACCCAGAAGCCATACAATGTCATGATTAGGTCATATTTCTTTCCATCTCACACTTTGTTCTCCTTTTACAACATAAGCATGTATGTTTCATGACAAGGTTACAGCGGCTTTACTACAGAGCCTGACCACCCGTGAGGGAATCGGATTTCATAGGGCAAAACCTTAGCTATAACTGTCTTGAGAAACGATTTCAGAACAGTAGCTGTGCATCCCTTGCAGCCAGGCTAAACAGGAGGTCAGTCCAGCTTTAAGGAAAAACATTTATTTCAACATATGCTTGCGCTGGAATAAGTTCTGCTGGTGTTTAAGATGGTACTGGACTCCCAGTTAATTGTGTTGAAAAATGAAGCTCTGAAGTTAAATTCAGATTTTCTTCCATTGCAGTTATCTCCATTTCCTTGCACAACAGAACTCTGCCGCTTTAACGCAGCTGTGAGCTGCCACTTATGAAGCAAGGCCAGTGGATTCTAAACATTTTATGTAGAAGGAAGCAACAAAGCTTGCACCTAAGTATGGGTCACCGTAAGGCAAAAATCTTTCAATCAAGATTTATTATAGAATAACCCTTAACAAAATTTTAGTCAAACAATCCAAATCCCATATCATCGTCTGATTCTTCCGACTCTTCTTTCTTTTCTTCTTTCTTCTCCTCAGCTGCAAATCGAAGTATATTTAGACAGTTAGGGACAACTCTCAAACAGACTAATTTCATTCTATTTACCACACACTATACAGGCATTCAGAATGCAAAAGCCCACAGTCACTTGAAGTACCTTCAGTTCAAATTTTACTGCACAGTTGAACAACACATGCCATAAAAGTATCAAGTTTCTGTGAAAGGTGAGCTCTGAACACAAAAAAGCAAGGGAGGAATCAATATTATACTTACCAGCAGCAGGTGCAGCGCCTGCAGCAGGAGCAGCGGGGCCTCCAGCGGAGACTGCTACCGCTCCACCTGCCGGCATGCTGGCAAGCTTGCTGTTACCTAGGGGAGATAAAGGAGGAAATGTGACACAGGATGTGTAATTCAGAACCTAACAAAGGTTAGTAAAATGTGAAAAAGAGGGCCAATATTAAAAACTAAATGTAGAAAATACAATCTACATGATTGTATTATATTTATATGGCCATCTTGCCACTCAATTGTGTGACCTCTGAGGAAGGCCTATGCAGGCCGAAACGTGTCAGGTCATGTTTTTTAAGCCCGTGTGTATTGCCATGTTATTTATATATTTGATGTGAATGGGCCCTTATATATGTTTTAAAATTTGTAATTAATAAATACATGTATCTTTTTCTATATATTTTCAACATTTAGTTTTTAATATTGGCCCTCTTTTTCATATTTTACTAACCTTTGTTAGGTTCTGAATTTTGGTGTTAAGATTCAGTTTTTTGCCCTTTCTGTACCTGCACACACGATGTGTAAACATGACCGGTCAAAGGGAAACCAGACTACCAGTGCCAAGCAATGCAGGGTCTCTTAATCTTGAGTTCAGTGAAATGGAAGTAGTCTGGCGTACAATTGTGAAAGACATCCACGATGAATGAATTCTTTCTTACACTTACCATTAGGCCATTTTGAAGAATCAACACTTGTTCAACTCCCCCCCGCATTCCACATCATCTTCCTTCCACAATCTCATTCCATATTCCAATTCCCACCCTGCTTGATTTTTGACCAGGAAAAGAAGAAAAATGATGCACTGTAGCAGGCATGACAGAGGTCAAATAGTACTCAGCAGTCACCTGGCATGTGAGCACCTGTTTGATCTCCGCCAATCCCCACCCTGCTTGATTTTTGACCAGGAAAAGAAGAAAATGATGCACTGTAGCAGGCAAGACAGAGGTCAAATAGTACTCAGCAATCACCTGGCACATGAGCACCTATTTGATCTCTTAACGATCAAGCATCTCAGGCTCTCAATCAAACTCCCAATCGCAGAAATGAATTTTAATTCTAGAAATCAATTTGTAGTGAGGAACACCTACCAGATACCGTAAAAGGACTCATTTATTTTATCAGCCCAGTCTCGTCTTATAGACCATGTTGGTGACTTCTGGCTGTAGGCAGAATATGCATTAGAGTACGTGACATGCTATGAGTGGATGTGGGTGGCTGGGGGAAGAGAGGGACAGAACGATTTGATATAAGAACATAGGAGACGCCAATGTTGGATGAGGCCAATGGCCCATCCAGTCCAACACACTGTCACACAGTGGCCAAAAATACCAGGTGCCATCAGGAGGTCCAGCAGTGGGGCCAGGACACTAGAAGCTGGCCCCCTGTTGCCCCCCCCCCCCGGCACCAAGAATACAGTGCATCACTTGCCCCAGACCGAGAGTTCCTATCTATACCCTGTGGCTATAGCCACTGATGGACCTCTGCTCTTAACATAAGAACATAAGAGAAGCCAATGTTGGATCAGGCCAATGGCACATTCAGTCCAACACTGTCACACAGTGGCCAAAAATACCAGGTGCCATCAGGAGGTCCAGCAGTGGGGCCAGGACACCAGAAGCCCTCCCGCTGCTGCCCCCCCCAAGCACCAAGAATACAGAGCATCCCTTGCCCCAGAGTCCCTATCTATACCTTGTGGCTAATAGCCACCGATGGACCTCTGCCCCATATGCTTATCTAATTCCCTTTTGAAACCATCCATGCTTCAAGGAAACTCCTTGAAATCAGAAGGACAACTCTGCTGGGACTAGTCTATTTCCTATCACGTTACTGTACATTACAGCTATGTACAAAGTTCTCTCACTATGTCAACCAATAACACTTGCTTTGGGATTGCAGTGCCACCACTTACTTTTATACCTTGGAGATATAAATCCATTTCCAATCTGTATCATGATGCCAAATTAAGCAACAGCTGAAACTGTATGACACATCGGGCCTTGGAGATTTTGACTTGCTACTGATTAATGCCTACAATTCCAAGGAAGTTTGCAATATTTCCCTTGTGAGCCCCAAGATTCCCTTAGCTTTCATAAACAAACCAAAGGGGGCAAAACGCCTGTTCTTTGTTTCTGAGAACATTCTGAATTGGTTCTGAAATATGTTTACTTTTCTGGCCACAGAAACACCATGTGACTGCTTACGTATCTATTCCAAGAAAGGGTATATGTTTAATTTCTTGGCTCTGACATTATCATTTAAATGCGTTGACACTTATTTTGAACTTGCACCCAGCCCGCAATTTAGGATTCACTGGCTCTATGGCTCTACCAGTCTTCCTGCAAGAGCTACTGACTGAATGAATCCCTTACAGTGGCAACAGAAGGTGAGTCGGCACAGACAGCTCCTTCCGGCCATCCCTCTCCCCCCAACAGCTGCCAAACATCGCCAGAAAAGCAAGCTCTTCTGAGTTAGAAGGTGTGCAAAATAGGTGACTCCTGGGAGAAGGAAGTGGCTGAATCAATCTTTTTGCATTGTGGGTTAGCAGAGCCTCGATCACTAGCACAGGATCCAACTATCATCGTAACTCAAATGTCTCATTAGTGTTGTTAATTTAATGGTAACTATTCAGCAGCACCAGCTATTTACACAACACCTTGTACTGCAACCCAAAGGGCCAACCCCCTGCTTTGAGGAACATTCAATTTAAACTTTGACACTGGAAGAGAGGGGGGGGGGAACTGTCAAGAATACGGGAATTTCAGCTATAAGAGGTATGTTAGTTTTCCTTTGTCATTTTTTTTTTTCCTCCTACTGCCAGGGAGATAAATTACTGTAGACGCGACCTGGGCATAATGTGCCAGATAATGAACCAAGGCCTGCTTTATTTGACTCTGATCAATATTACCCCTTTGCCAGGACAATGGAGAAGCGGGCGTGCAAGAAATTGGACAGGCAAGGAATTGGAGGTGTCCAGCTTGGAAATGTCAGCGGCTGGAACACATACCAGAAGACTGGAGTAACCAAGATACATCAGGCTGTAGCACTTATTCTCTCAGTCTCTAAAGGTAAAGGCTTCCCTTGCTCGAAAGCCAGTCGAGTCCGACTCTAGGGTTGCGGTGCTCATCTCCGTTTCCAAGCCGAAGAGCCAGCGCTGTCCGAAGACGTTTCTGTGGTCATGTGGCCAGCATGGCTAAACACCAAGGCGCACGGAACGCTGTTACCTTCCCACCGAAGTGGTACCTATTTATCTACTTGCAATTTCGTGCTTTCGAACAGCTAGGTTGGCAGGAGCTGGAACTAGAGACGGGAGCTCACTCCGTCGTGCGGCAGACTCGGGTCTCGAACTGCTGAACTACCGACCTTCCACAGCCTGCAGTTCAGCGTCTTAACCACTTGAGCCACCGCAGCTCCTCTCAGCCTCTAAGGGCACGAGAAAGAGATCAAAGAGGCCATCCTTCCACTACATTTCTACAAGGAACACTCTATGGAGAAGTGTAAGAGCACTGGGGATCCTGAAATGGAGTTGCTAACTTACTGATGTTGAAGTCCAGTGCAACTGCAGAGACCCCTGTACCTCAGAAGTTTGCCAACTATCAAACTTCAGCTGCTATATGCACCATCCTGTTATGCAATTTACCCTATACATGTATCAAATGCTATGCACTGCTTGTGTCTAACCGTGACCAAGCGGTATAGGATTGTGTCAAAGAAGCTTCCGCCTAACAGAATATCAAACTGGAACTCATTGCTTAAAGTGTGCAACTAGGAGCTGTTGTGGCTCAAGTAGTTAAGACGCTGAACTGCAGGCTGTGGAAGGCCGGTAGTTCAGAAGTTCGAGACCCGAGTGTGCCGCAAGACGGAGTGAGCGCCCGTCTCTAGTTCCAGCTCCTGCCAACCTAGCCGCTCGAAAGCAAGAAATTGCAAGTAGATAAATAGGTACCACTTCAGTGGGAAGGTAACAGCGTTCCGTGCGCCTTGGTGTCTAAGTCATGCCGGCCACGTGACATGACCACGGAAACGTCTTTGGACATCGCTGGCTATTCGGCTTTGAAACAAAGATGAGCACAGCAACCCTAGAGTCGGATTCAACTGGTTTTCGAGCAAGGGAACCTTTACCTTTTTATGTAGCTTTAGAAGAAGCGATCCCTCCCTACAATCACAAAAAGCATCTTTAAATCAAGACTTGGCTGCAAAGTGCCCTGACCTGGATAGCCCAGGCAAGCCTGATCTTGTCAGATCTCAAAACCTAAGCAGGGCCAGCCCTGGCTGGTATTTGGATAGGTGACCTCCAAGGAATACCAGGGTCTTGACACAGGAAGGCGATGGCAAGTCACCTCTGAAAATCCCTTGTCTTCAACCCCCCCGAGGGTTCGCCAAAAGTCCGCTTGACTTGATGGCAAAAGACAGACTTGGTTGAAAGGTAAGTTTACAAACCCAAAGGGGAAACTGTTCGGAAGCATGTCGCCGCAAGCTTTAATGATAGTTGCCAGGGGATCCCATTTCTGGAGTTCCTTGTGTGTGTTTAAAGAATACTATCTAAGGAGATGACTGGCTACACCTTAACATGCTGCTCAACCAAGAAAAAAAGTTTACCTACAGTTTCTGTAATCACGTGTAAAGGAAAAGGTACTGTTCCAATAAGAGAGATGAGGGAAATTTTTCTATTCAGTCCTTACTTTCTTTCTCACAACCTGTGTAGCCCCCATAACTTGCCTTACATTATTCTGTTCTCACCTCAAGATTAATGACACACTTACTGGGCACCATATATAGCCCACCATGAGTGAGAACATAACAACGTAAGAGAAGCCAACGTTGGATCAGGACAATGGCCCATCCAGTCCAACACGCTGTCACACAGTGCCAGAAATACCAGGTGCCGTCAGGAGGTCCACCAGTGGGGTCAGGACTCTAGAAGCCCTTCCACTTAGGGGTGTGCAAAAAAATTCGGCCCATTCGGATTCGGTTGAATCGGGCAGAATCAATTTCGGCTGGCAGTAAGACTCCCGCATGTCAGTTTCGTCAGTACAAGCCATTGGGGAGTCTTTGGCCAGCTGAATGTCAATTTCAGCCCCATTATATCCTATGCGCCATTGAAGTCAATGGCAAAAACATAGGGTATATTCTAGGGGGCTGGAGGGGAGGTGGTTGGAGGGAGAGGCTCCAAACTTGCAGGGTAGCTGCTGGAGCCTCTGCCCAAGATACCAGCCACGTTTGAAGAACATTGGACCAGGGGGTCCAATTCTACAGGCCCCCAAACAGGTTGCCCCTATCCCCTCCATTGTTCTCTATGGTGGAAAAAAAGTAACTTTTTTCCCGCAGGGCATGTAAGGCAGAGATGTTCCACGAGGCATTTGACTGAGGACAGCAATGGAACAACATATAGTCTGGCACTTCCATACCCTCCATTCTCCAAAACCTCCCTAGGAGGCTTGTGGAAGCCGAACGTTTTCCGCCATCTTGGAATGGATTGTTGTATTTGTTGATATATGTTCAAGCACTGGAAGAAATCAGCATGGCCCAGGAGCAATGCTCCCTCTAAGCTGTGGAGTCGAGTCTTGTGAGCAAAAATTCTACTTTGTGATTTACTGGCAGTTGTGAGCGAGCGATTTGGCTACTGCATAAATCAGTTTGCTCTGGAGCCCTCCTTCCTGAACCAAGACAAAAATGTGTGAGCTGGAGACTAAAAAACCATGAGCTAGCTCACACTAACTCAGCTTAGAGGGAAGGGAACACTGCCTAGGAGTATGAAGATAAACAAAGGAACCTAACGTCACTGGGGGAAAACAGTAGCACATTTCAAAGGGCTGCAAAAGAACTGAGGGAAACACTTGAAATAAGGTACCTAAATGTTAAGTATTAGCCATGTTAAGGTAGAAAGGGAGGTGAAAGCAGGGAGTGGAGTTATAGATCCAAGAAGAAGACAGGTGGGTATTTCATCAAGTGGGGAAACAGAAGAGGCACTGGAAGTAAACAGGCCGCGTTGTCGGTTTTATCAAGGAAGCAAGAGTCTGCACAGAAGGCCCTGTAAGTAAACAGGCCGCGTCGTCAGTTTTATCAAGGAAGCAAGAGCCTGCACAGAAACTGAAGGAGAATGCAAAGCATCAATCACAGAAGATACGCAAAAGCGTATTAAAGCAGGTGTAGACCAGGGTGGTATAGTAACATTGCTTGGTCAGAAAAATTTAGAAAAGGTTCATAGAACTACTCTGCTAATATATCCATTAAACATTTCAGTTTGCTTTTAAAACTGAGGCGCCTTCCTTTTCACAGCACCATGTTGAGAGCATCCTCCTTATGAACAGAAACAGCAAATGTCCATTTAAGAGGCTTGTAGACCAGGGTGGTATAGTAACATTGCTCGGTCAGAAAAAAATTAGAAAAGGTTCACGGAACTACTCTGCTAATATGTCCATTAAACATTTCCGTTTGCTCTTAAAACTGAGGCGACTTCCTTTTCACAGCACCGTGTTGAGAACATCCTCCTTATGAACAGACACAGCAAATGCCCATTTAAGAGGCGTTCCCAATTTAATATGGTCCACCAGCGAAACCCAGCAGGTACCGGCATTACCCTGTGGGGATTAGGATGGACCCGTTACATTTCAGGCACAACATACTCTTACTGTTATTCATATCTATTCATTACAGGACATGTTCTGAATGGCCACAGAGTTAGTAAAGATTGGCCTCTTGTCAACTTCAACATAGCAAGACGTTGAAAGTTAAGCCTGTAGTAGAGCAGTCATGCTACTGCACCTCTAAATTAGGATGGACCCGTTACATTTCAGGCACAGCATACTCTTACTGTTATTCGTATCTATTCATTACATGACATGTCCTGAATGGCCATAGAGTTAGTAAAGATCGGCCTCTTGTCAACTTCAACATGGGGGGCTTAGCCTCTGAATTTCTTGATTCTCCCCCCCCCCCAACCCCGCTCTCATGAGTTTGTTCAGTGTTTAACCTTAAAAGCCGAATTGAGTAACTATGCAGACTGTAACGGTCCTGGGCTTACAGAACCTTTGTATAAAATTTTAAATGTTTAAGAAAGTTCTTGCAACTACTTTTCTTGTGAAAGTGTTAAAATCATTTGGGCAATGACATCTTCGATGTTTTTCCCATTCAGCTCATTAATGACCTGTAGGAAGCAAACCGAAAGTATTAGAGGACTGTTCTAATAGGGGACTAGCTCAGTATCCCACTCCCTCGATGAAACTGGAAACGTTCATCAACAAATATACAGCAGACACAAATTATAGCGTATGCCTCAATAAAGACTAACCCTGATAAAGACAGGTTATAGCAATTTTAAAAGGACGCAATAAGAGGAAATCTGCTAAGTGACCCAGAGGGCTCACAGATCTTTTAATTATTCAAAACATTGCTGTGCCACCTATTCACCAAAATGGTGTTCCCAAGGCAGTGGACACTAAAATATTTTACATCAAAGCAACATTTAAAGAATATACAACCCACTCCGATCAATAGTCTGGCTGCAGCATTCTGTACCATTTGTAGCTTCCGGAGAGACTTCAAGGGCAGCCCCACATAGAGCACACTGTAGTAATCTAACCAAGGTGTTACCAGAGCATGCTCCACAGTTGTAAGATCTTCTCCCCAGGAAGGGCCACAGCGGGTTCACCAGCCAAAGCAGTTGCTGCCACATGCTCATCCATGAGGAGACCTGAATCTTGGAGTATCCCCCAGGATACAAATCTGCTCCTTTAGGGAACGCGTACTCCATCCAGAACAAGAGGTCTCTCATGTCCTGTGTCAGACCATCCCCCTACCAGTAGCACCCCCATTTTGCCAGTATTCAGTTTAAATCCCCACTATAAATTCTTTTTTTGCTCTTATCCTAAGTAACCCACACATCCCAAGCATAAGGTACCCTAATTCTCACTGACAGCAACAGTATGTCCTCATTTCTCACCAAAGTAAGCCCTTCCTACATTAGTGTTGAATAAGTGGGTCGTGATTGATCATACAACAGTACATTGGCTATTGTGTTTTAGCTGTAATAACGAAGAATTTTTTGCTGCAACCAACGAAGACATTATCTTAGACAGAAGTACAAGAGATAAAGGATTCTACGACGTTTGCAAATTAATTTCTACTACAGCTAATCACTAAACCCAAGAAGGAAGACAGCATTCTATACACATAAGCTGCACCTGTGGCACAATGGCAGCATAGGACATTATGCTGCTCACACAGGGCCAGTTTCCCCCACAAAGATCAACAGATTACAAAACTGTAGCATACTGGGCAACCTCTATGTAAAGCCTTTACAAGAAATCATTCATAGCTTTGGAACTGGATGTCATCAATATGCTGATGACACCCAGCTCTGTTTTTTTCTATACAAATACCTGGTAATATGGTAGATGTCTTAAACTGGTGCCTGCTATGGTTAAATGGCTGAAATTGAACAAACTGAAAGTGACTCCAGACAAGACAGAAGTGATACTGGTTGGAAAGGTGGAAACCTTGAAGGACAATGTGCTTCCCACTTTTGGGGGTGGGGGTCTGCTCGGTTAACAGCCTAGGGATTATATTGGCTCCAGCACTGCTATTGAAGAAAGAAGTTAATGCAACTGCAAATCAAATAACAACCCCCCCCCACTTACTTCAACTCAGTTTGTTGGCCACCAACTTGACAATGGTCAATCTGGCCACCTGGATCCACACCACAGTAACATCAAGACTAGACTATTGTAACACACTCTACATAGGCTTTCCCTTGAAGTCAACTCAGAGTCTAGTTGGTATAGAATGCCCCAGCTCAATTATCATTGGGAGCTAGGCAGAGCATGCACATTACTCCCATTCTGCAGTCATTCCATCAACTGCACATCAGCCATTTAAGCTGGGTACACTCTGGAGCAAGAGACGGGTTGGCAGGTTATGAACTTTAGGGACTTTTGTAAAAAGGTGACTGTCACCAAGGTAACTTAAAAAACCCAAAACGCAATTATAAATTTTTCACTGGCTTACCAAACTGAAATCAGAAAACTGACTAATAATAAATATTCAAACAATTTGATATTAAATGCTTACAATAACCTGTATCCAAATACCTATAAAGAAAATTCTTTTTTTTTTGTACATGGCTGATACATGGATGGACACAAGTTAAGGAAGTTGGGCTTTCTTGCAGTGGTAAGCAGACAAAGCATTCCAAACATTATTCCTCCTGAATGATAAAGCTGTATTTACAGCTAAGGCAAACAAGAACATTTTTTTACCACATTATACATTTATCATTCTCACCTTGTTCATGCGTTCATCATCTGTTTCAATGCCTACACTGTCAAGAATTTTCTTCAGATCTTTTGAACTTGGAGAATCATTGCCTCCAAGAACAGCAAGAAGGTAAGCTGCAATGTAACGCATTCTGGGGGGAAAAGGAGAATTATATTTACACATACACACAGTTAAGTTTAAATTTCACTATGATACCATGTAAAATAAGATCAACTGTATTATTTAACCTTCTCGGGGCATGTACAGGATTAGCTTCAGGATCTGGGATACATTTATACTTAAGAAATAGTCCAAAAACTTCCTGTCATGAGTGCTTCAATTGAATAAGCCCTATATTTTAAGCTCACAAAGCCTCTAGAGGAGACGAGAATCTAAGATCTTGTTGAGGTGTATAATAAATGGCATATACTCTTTGAAAAACCACCAGCTTCCAGATTTTGATTTTTTAATCAGATACCTCTAAATGATACCCAAATGACCCCTCAAAAAGGCTATATAAGTAGATAGATATACATATATGCACACACAGAGTCCACCAAACCCAATTAGTTTGGTGTAGTGGTTAAGTGCGTGGACTCTAATCTGGGAGAACAGGGGTTTGATTCCCCACTCCTCCACTTGCACCTGGCTGGATGACCTTGGGTAAGCCTTAGTTCTGATAAGAGCTGTCCTTGAAAAAGAGTAGTTTCTGTCAGAGCTCTCTCAGCCCCACCTACCTCCCAGGATGTCTGTTGTGGGGAGGGGAAGGGAGAGGAGTTTGGCTTCTCTTATGTTCTTAGGAACTCTAGGTCTGGGGCAAGGGATGCTCTGTCTTCTTGGTGCTTGGAGATGGAGGGTGACAGTGGGAGGGCTTCTAGTGTCCTGGCCCCACTGCTGGACCTCCTGATGGCCCCTGTGTGACAGAGTGTTGGACTGGAGGGGCCATTGGCCTGATCCAACATTGGCTTCTCTTATGGTCTTAGGAACTCTCGGTCTGGGGCAAGGGATGCTCTGTCTTCTTGGTGCTTGGCGGGGAGGGCAACAGTGGGAAGGCTCCTAGTGTCCTGGCCGCACTGCCGGTGGGCCTCCTGATGGCCCCTGGTGTTTCTGGCCACTGTGTGACACAGAGTGTTGGACTGGAGGGGCCACTGGTCTGATCCAACATTGGCTTCTCTTATGTTCTTATAAGAGGGAACTGGACAAGCATATGGAGCAGAGGCCGTTAGCCACAAGGTACAGATAGGGACTCATAGACTGGGGCCAGGGATGCAACTGTATTCTTGGTGCTTGGAGGTGGGGGATGTCAGTGGGAGGGCTCCTAGTGTCCTGGCCCCACTGCTGGTGGGCCTCCCTTCGACGAGTCTGGGGGGGGGACGATGGCCTCCTCGCCGTGCCCTCGCTGCAGCCGCCTCAGCGCCGAAAGGAAGAGGCGGAGTCCGCCGCGTGGATTCGGCCCCGGACGCTCCAGCAATCGGCGCGGGGATTGGGCGGAAAGGACAAGCCAATCAGAAGCCGGGTTGTTCAGAAGCGCTTCTTCCGCCCCGCCCTCGTTCTGTCGCTTGAGGTGAAGAAGGCCGAGCAGTGTTCCCCCTAAACTGAGTCTGCGTGAGCCGGATGACAGTTTTTTTTAAAGCCTCCGGCTCACGCATGTCTGTCTCGGATCAGGAAGGAGGGGGCTCCAGAGCAAACTCATTGATGCAGCGGCCGAATGGCTCGCTCCCAACTTTAATGCCCAGTAAGCAGTTCGAAAGCAAGAAATTGCAAGTAGATAAATAGGTACTACTTCGGTGGGAAGGTAACAGCGTTCCGTGCGCCTTGGTGTTTAGTCATGCCGGCCACATGACCACGGAAAAAGTCTTCGGACAGCGCT